AATCGATCGATTGATTAAGAATCATTCAACAATTCGCTAATGCGAAACGATGACCAAAAACATCAATAAACATATAAATCCTCAATCATCAACGGGGTATACAGGTTGGACAATGATGATGATGATGATGATGGACAGCGAAAAAAACATTAAAAAATATAACTGAAAATCATTACCACCACATGACTTGTTGCTACCATCATTATTATTATTATCATTTCCCAAAAAACAACAACAACAACAACAAAAATCTACTTTCAATTAAAACATTGGATATCATTTATGTTTTTTTCTTCTGATTTCTTTTCTTATTTTTTTTCCATTTTTCAAGGTTAGCCACTTTTTTACTCTGCTGCAGTCTGTAACCCGTTAGTATTTTGTTTCTTGTTGTTGTTTTAATGGCTTGTAATTTGCTGTAATTTAGCTCAGAATTTCATTATAAATACAATTTTCTGTTGTTGGAAACTAAAACAATTACTTTGGCCATTAAATGGCTTTTCTTAACTCTTTTTTTGTTGTTGTTTGAAAAAAAAATTTACATTTTTTCTCTCTACCTTTCAATCAATCAAATTTTCAATTTGTCGGTAGCAAATTGAAATCTTTTTTTGATTTTCTCAATTCAAGAATTTCTGACAATTCTCAGGTGAGAATTGACAGAAGCTTAAATCGAAACGAAATCGAAAAAAATCCATTATCAATTCAGAGATTTTAATCTTCATTTTGACATTTTACATCCATTTTTTCCTCTCTTTCTTTCTCTTGATTCGATTCGTAAAAAATTGATTTGAAAAAAAATACAAGAAAATTATGGAAAATTATGATTGAAAAATCTGTTGAGTGTGTCTTTTCGTTAATCGTCGTCTCCATCATCCTGTTTTTTTTCCTTCAATTTTCCAACTTTATTGTCGACTTTGATCTTAATCTAATAATTTTTCTTTTTGCCAAGCATCAACATCTTCATGATTAAAACCACCAAAAAAAAAAAAATAATAATAATTTTTGGTGGTCATTGGCCCTTTTGCATTCATCAACAAAAAATCTTTTGTACAGTGTCGATTTCGATGTGCATGATGATGATGATGATGATATCAATTTATCATTTGCAAAAAAATTTGATTGCATTCATTTGTTTGCTTGTTTGTTTGCTTTGATTTTGATATTCGATATCAAAAAACACATCGCATATTGAATTTGTTTCCATGTTTTTTTTGCAGGAGGGGGGAATGGATGGGTTGAAATAGTCATCATTTGATGATGAATGACAGAAATTTTTTTTTTGTTGGAAAATAGCAAAAGGGTTATAGTCGGGTGGTAGATTTCCACAGACAATCCGTCCACCTACATTCTGGTTTTCAAAAAAAAAAATTCTTGATTTTTCAAACAAAAAATCCAGAAATTATTCTTGGAAATCAAAAATCAAATCAAAAAAAAACTAATGACATTCAATGAATGTGTCAAGTGATAATCATTTGTAAAAAAATTGCAAATTTCTAGTTTTTCGATGATTCCTTGATAAATGACCATAGATAAGACCATCTTTTCCATCATCATCAACAACAACATTATCGTTATCTTTTAAGAACAATCTCTTTTCAAACAATGATAATCACCACTTTTAACCACTTTTTTTCTGAATAAGAAATTCTCGTTTTGCTCGATTTTCATCAAGAATTCTCTCATTCGACTGCCACAAAATATGTCATGTGATTGATATGATCGCTGGACCACTTTTAATCTTGTTTTCGGACAAATTACTTTTACTTTTTTTCTCATTCAATTCGATATTGAACAAGTTTTTTTTGAACAAAATGATATTGTGCAATATTGATCATTCAATGTTCTAAATATCAATTTTGATTTTTCTTGTTTTGCTTTTTTCACCCCAATCAAATTCAATTGTAAATCATCAAAAAGGATTTTTTCCTGTTATTGTTTGTTGCTATGCAAATTTTACCCGAAAGTTTTCTTTTTTTTTCTGTGTTTTGTCGCCTAATATTCTAAGATCCAGAAATCCAGATGGATTTTGACTTTTGAGATTTTTTTCTTCTTGGTTTTTTTCCGGGTTGTCATCATCAGAAATCTGGTTAAACCAGAAACTATATCCGTATTCAATTTAACAGCGGTTACGTAATGTTTTTTTTTCGGGGATTCAATCAATCATATTGACACAAATCCGAATCACACACACACACACTTCACACGCAAACAAATCGATCGATATCCAATCAATTCATTACATCCGATTAATATTTTTGTTTGTTTTGTTTTTTTTTCTGGTTTACCAGAAAAACCAAACCATGCAGGAAAAAAACCAACATCAGAAACAAAAGAGTGAATCGATACTATCGATATTTGTCCAAAATTTGATGCTAACTGTTCAGGTACTTAATAGTTCAATTACTTTTCAATCAATCAATTTTTTTTCCTGTTGACATTCTTAATTGATTGATTATCGATTTGTTTATCAACAAGTGTTGTTTTGCTTCAAGTTTGTTTTACTTTCTTCAAAACATTAATGATATCCTGGTTCTGGATTTGCTTTTTGCTTTTGTTGTTGTTTATCACCCATCATCACCCATATAATCATTATCGTCTACCAAATCACACACACATTATTAGGTCAGCAGTGTGATTGCAAAGAAAAATCAAACTTACATCGATGAGAATTAGGTTTTTGTTGTTGTTTGTCAGTTTTTGGGTAGACAGAAAAATCTTTTTCTTTTTTCGTCTTATTTTTGTTGTTGTTGTTTTTGATTTTGTCGTAAGAATTTTCTTGTTTTTTTTCTGTTTTTTTGATTTTTCTAAAACACAGATTCATTTACCGGAAATCTTAGTTTACTTTTGTCAATCTCTCTCTCTCTCTCTCTCTCTCTCTCTCG